CTGTATATGCTAATGTAGTATGTGTAGTATAATGTAGTATTTATATCAATTTTATTAATTAATAAAAGAGAAAAAAGAATTCCCACTAATACTTCTAATAATTTTTTCAAAATTGTTTTGATTTTTAATTTTGTGAATTTTTTTTTTTATAATTAAAAAATTATTAATATGATAAGCATAGCTATCAAATGAAATAATAATGATATGATATTATCATTTGATTGCATGTATGAAATAGAAATTATCGATCGATGATGGTTTGTTTGCTTATAAAAGTTTTATTAAATGGATAGAAAAAGGGAAAAAAATGTAAAATTTTGAAAATAGCAAAAGTACATGAAAACAATTTGAAACAAATTGATTGACTAAACTAGACTACTTTTCTCTTCTATTCTATTTGCATACATAAATATGTCCTTCCTACTTTTTTTCATTGATTAATGTCCTCCCTACTTTTAATGAAATGACAATATCCTTTGATGAAGAAGCAAATAATATTTCCTTTTTTTTACTTTTTCATAATATTGCTTATTTGTTGATGAAAATAGCGGCAAAATGAAAGTGATAAAAGGACAGACAAATGATGAGGACAGTAAATGGAGGGATGAAATGAAATGGGACAGGATTCATTTAATATTTACTTCATCTTTGTTAATTATTTGAACTATATATTGATATATGTTGTAAATTCATTTAATTATTCAATGATAGTTCAGTTCATTTTTCAATTTACATATGCAAAAGATGAAAGTTGAGTGAACTATTTAGATTTAACATAATAATATATTCAAATACATAAACAATTTCAATGATAATATTTGCATAATAAAAGAACAAAAGAAAACATAATTTGGCGTAATAAGCGTAATACATTATTAAAATGTAAGCAACAATATATTTGAAATATATAAAGTTTAAGGTTAATCAATAATGTCCCATAATTTTCAGGTTTTTTTTTTCAATCAAAATTAAATTTTTAAATTTACAAATTTACAAAAAAAATTAAATAATTTACAAATTTAACTTCAATTCATTTAAAATCACACATTAAAATAGGCGAAATTATGCCACTAAACATAATTAATTATATTTTTACCACATATAAAGATAAAAATGTTTTAAAAATGTGAAGTAAAATTTGAAAAAAAAACAAACAAAAAAAATGAAAATAAATTTAACTTATCCAATTAAATTTAAATTAATTATATATCATTCCAAAACATTTACAAAATTATCTATCCAAATGTTTGTTATATTTAATAAACAAACGATACATTCCTCTCTTCAATACTATTGTTTACAATCATAATTGAAAATGTTCCAAGAAAATTTTTTTTTTTTTTTTTGATTTTTGTCACATACTTTGAAAATTGCTTGCATATATTTGAAAAATAGAAATTATTTTCCTGCTTGAAAAAAAAAAAAAAGGAAAAATTGATTCGACGCTTAAAAAAAAAAGCGCACTATTCATCCTGTTGTTTTCGTTCTTTCAACGACAAAAAAAGAAAAAAAAAAACTATCTCAAGTAGAAAAAGCTATTTGGGCTATCATTATTAACAATAAATTCAATTCTATTTGCGCCCATCATCAACAACAACAAATTCAGTCCTCTTTGCGCCCATCAACAAAATCAGTCCTCTTTGCGCCCATCAACAAAATCAGTCCTCTTTGCGCCCATCATCAACAAAATCAGTCCTCTTTGCGCCCATCATCATCAATAACAAATTCAATTCTTGGTCAT